ACAAAAGAAGATAAATTTACACAAACTCAATGGAGGGCAATTTGACAATATATGCCAAAATTAAAACTGCATGTGCCCACAGACCCAATAGTTCTACTTCCAAGAATTTATCTAATATATGTATATATATGTTCAGAAAATTACATACACAGATTTTTTTAAAAAATTCAACACTGTTTATAAAACTAATGATTTGAATGACCACAAATCATTATCAGTAGGAGATTGGTTACATTAATTATGATACATCATCAGCAAAATTGAGCCTTAAACAACCATATGAAATAAAATATTTTACTATTCCTCATTCATAGTACTTCCTCAAACACTCAATTGCTTAGATGATGGATTTTGTGGAAAATTACAAATTTTATATTACCCCTACAGCATGAGTACTGGTCACTAAGATATCATAAGATGTTATTCCTGAAAATTACGTAAACTATAAAGACATCTTTAAAATTCCCAGGAGATACTATAAAACTGAAAGAGGCCCATATTTAAGATTTCTGTTACTGATTCACTTCAAAGCCTTCAATATCTTTGCAATGGAATTTATTTCTTCTTTAGTACCATGTAATGTTTACATACTGTAGTCTGTCATAGTCTGTTCCACTACAAATATAGCACAAACGCACACACACACACACACCACTTTTTCTGTATGTAGTTTTGCTGAGGGTACTCCAGAAATATACATGGCAAAAAATTCATAAATGGATATGTTTTCAAGAGAAGCATCTGAAAAGTATTTAGAAAGAAAAAAGAATTTCAATGCCTGCTTATATAATTCACAAACAAAAATTAATAGCATCCTTTTAAAAATAATATCCTGTTTGAAATCTAAATAAAGAAAAAATCTAACTCACAATAACTATCAATTTCTATGGAGAAAACTTTCAATCTTTTCTGTGAAACATAGAAGAGTTCATGAATAAATAGAAAGAAATGGCCTTTACTTGCATACAAGTTCAGTATTATAAAGGTGTTAGTTTCCCTTAAATTAATTAATCAATATATTCAAGATAATCAGAAAGAAAACAATTTTTTGGCATGGTTTGAGGGGAATTAAAAAATCCCTATTAGAGTTCATCTAGAAATACAAATATTAAAATATTAAAATAGAAATGCCTGGTAAAAGAAGAACAATCTTGGCTAATGGCTCTAATTTGGGGTCAACTTCTGAATTATGTTTCAGTCAGCTTTCTACTCCATTTGGCTGTCGCTTTCTTTGCCAGAAGGAAACTCATAACAGTGCTTTAAATGTTTGTGCATAATTCTCTTTTTAATGGTAATTTTTGAAGTGAAATAATGATAAGCTATATGATAAACTATAAACAGTGTTTGCCTCAATGAATATAAATCAAAAGATTTGGAGAGTAATGTTGAGGGTAAATAGTTACTTGAACAAAAAACATGAAGTTATAAACAATATAGGAGAGTTGCACATTAGTGCCTGCTGAAGTTTAAGGTATCCCTGTGTGAAGTAAAGTAAAAAGAAACCTGTACAGAATGGATTAGAAAAAAGAAAACTTTTAAGTCATCTTAAAGAGTAAGAGAGCATTTGGGCTAGGAAAACCTGACAGTACCCTAATGGTCTTAACATACCTGGAAAATATATAAAAATTCGGTATTTTATTATATGAACTTATCTGAGTAAAAATACATAAAAGGCACAGGCAGATTGGAATGAAAACCCACAAAGCAGTAATATGAACTGAGTTCTGAAAACGACCCAGGGGAAAGTCATGAATGAAAGGAAGTGATGGGAGAAAAGGAGACATGATCAAAAGAACTGCTTAATTTGCAGCTTTACCCAAGCTCCATCTTTCTAATATAACATAGGATATTTCCCACCTCCCTGTGTCTAAAGCATGATGCCTGTGCCCTAATTGTGTCATCACAACGTGGTTTCTTCTCAATTCTCTGCTCCTCCAAATTCTTATTCATATTGAAAAGGAATGTTTCCTGCAATGACAACTCACACACTGTTTCCAGGATCAATAAGAGAGGAGAAAGAGAGCCCTGACTTGAGTGCAACTATTTTATAAAGGGGGAAAAAAAAAGAAAGAAAGAAATGTATAAATATTAGACAGAAAATAGGTAAAGATAACAGTTCTACTTAGTAACTTGCTTGTCTGCTTGAGATAATCAGCTAAACACTATCGGGATTAATGAGAGTTCAGGAGGAGTCCTGGCCATCACATAGTTATGCAAAGGTCAGCTAGAAAATATAATCAATTTTAAAATAAAACATGATGGCAAGATTCAGAAAAAGTATATTTATCAAAATAAATGTAAATGGATTACATTATCTCATTTCAGAGACTAGAATCTTGAACTGAATAGGAAAAAATACCAATTTATAAGAGACAAGTTGAAAAACTAGATGCATGAACCAAAATGAACAAGCAAATGATAACAAATGAAAGAATCAGTGTTAATATCAGACCACCTATAAAGGTGAAAAAAGGTTGCTTTATGTTCATTTAAAAAATATAACAGATAAATATATATAAAGTAAATGTAGAACTTCATGCAACTAGCAACATAATATAGAAATATGTGAAGTGAAAAATATTAGAGATAAAGTTTTACACATTTTACAAAGAAAGTAGGAGATCTTAATGTATTTTTCACAGAAACTTACATACCAATAAGATAAAATGAAAATTGAAATTTTTAAGTATCACAGTTAGCATTTTATTTTTATTAGAGAGTATGTATATGTGTGTGTATGTATTCTGACATCAAGTTATTTACCTCCAAAATAAAGCATAAGTGTTTTTTATAAACCTCATTGTAAGCCTAACCAAAACTAATCTGAATCAGGCCACAGGAAGAACATCTATCCAATCCTCAAAATAGAAGATACATAAGCCACACTAACTCCTTAAAATTTAATTATGTATTAACAACAAAAGACTAGCCAGAACAATTATTTAAAAATTATAAAAATACTAAAATGTTAAAAAGTTACAGAGAAAACCAAATTAAATCATAGACTATGGCCAACTATAACAATATTACACAGCAAATGGGCATTGTAGCTTGCTATTAAATGTAATATACAGCTATACTTAGAAAATTGTATATCAATATGTTTATTTAAAAACAAGACTTAAGACATACACTAAATTTTCAACTGGTGAAGCTAGAATAAAGAACATTAGACTAAATTTTTAAAATAGAGGAAAAATTTTAAAGATAATATAAATATTGATCAATAGATTACAAATGTGAAAAAGCTACTAGTCTTCATTAATGAATCCAAGAGTTCATTCTAAGGAAAAAACAGGGAAACATCTGAAAAGGCTGATAAAGAATATATTTTAAAAAACACAAATAAAAATAATATTTAGAAATAATTATGAAGAACTTCACAAATTTTTAAAGAATCTTGTATATAAATATAGGCAGTTACATTTGAAATCCTAGATGAAACTGTCACTTTTAAATAAAACTATATATTGGAAAAATGAAAGAAAGTTTGAAAAATAACCATTGAAATTGTTAAAAAGATAATTAAAACTAAACTTTAAAACTTAAAAAAATGATTTCTGTAGTGTTTAAATGGCTTCCAAAATTAGAAATTTTCCAAATTAATTTCAAAAATTTGTCATAATTCTAACTTGAGAACCTGAAAAAGTAGTGCACACAGAGAGAGGAAAACACCCAAAAAGATATACAGTTAGTAATATAATTTAACAAACTAAATAAAATAGTGTATTCTACACATAGGATTGTATTAAAACATCATAGATGAATAGTTTATATTTCAAGAATTATTCTAATTAAAAATTATGAAATTCAAAGGGGTAAAATTTGATGATTTCTATAAACAACAAAAAAAGTAATTAGTGAAGTTCCAAATTCATTCCATATTAAGATTCTCAGCTATCAATAGAGAAAAGTTTCTTAAATGTTACACAGGGCAATTATTAGAAGTCAACAACAAACATAATACTTAATGGTAAATGCTATAAGCCTTCCTATTTAAGAAAAGGAAGTATATTTATTTAGCATAGGTTTGGGGATTCCAAACAATGCCACAAATAAGAAAAAGTTAGAATTTTAAGAAGAAATGCCAATGATCAAAACTGGTAAAATCCTAGTTTTGTTTGACATGAGAATGTGTAAAAGGACAATGGAGGCATAAAAGGCTAAAACACTAATAGTATTTTTTTCTGGATAGCATGCTTATACAAGGGATTTCCTGTTGCCTTGTTTATAATTTTCTATTTTTCAAATTTTCTACATTGCGCACATGTTATTTTTATAGTCAGAATCAAGTTATTAAAATAACTGAATGTGTCTCGCAGTATCACTGTTGTCCATTATTTCAGAACTAATTTTATTTTATTAATTAAAAGCTCTTGTAACTATTACAAGTAGTAACTTTAGTAACTTTAAAGTTTCCTTTAATTTTAATAAGTAGAATATCTTCTAAAAATAATGAATTGGGAATAAAAGAAGAGAAAAACTTTCAAAATAGTAAAAATCTATTTTTATTCAGAAATCTAAGAAGGCTCATGTAATAAGAAAATCTTTAAAGAATAGTTATAACAAATCTATTGATCTTCGAGACTAATCTGGCATACAAATGCAATAGTTGTTAAAAATATTTTCCTAGGATATCAAATTTTACTGATTTAAATCTTTACTTGCTATTTTATCTGAAAACATTTTTAAAATCAGTTACATAAACATCAATATCTGTTTATGAAACTAAATAACCAATTTTAAAAGCCACACTTACACTGGGAGCTCAAGGCTTTCTCACCCCCCAAGCAGTTAATTGCTGGAATTATAGCTTGGCCCTTCCCAGTTGCGCTCACGATAACGTCTTCATTTTCTAGGATCTGTAGCTTGACGAACGCATCTGGTTTGGACATGCGCACCTGTATGGTAACAGGATGTGGTAATGCAACCTTAAGTGAATACCTATAAAGAAAAACATTCGCCTTTAGAAGCCAGGATGTTGGTCTTTCCCCCAAATCAATAAAGGAAACTGTATCATTTGCTGATATGATAATCTACAAATAAAACCACTTTGTAAAGTCAGCTAAAATCCTGGAAATAAAGACTTTGGCAAAAGATCCCAATATGCTATGGTAAAATGAAGTAAGCACAGGAAGTTTATTATCATCACATGCCAAACAGGAAATGTAACTTTTTGTTTAGATATGATAAGCATTCACTTATAAAACTTTATAGACTGCAAACTACTGTCACATCGAACCATGACACCTTCCTCTCCAGTCGGACAAAGAGCACACCTAGCAGTAGTTTTCAAAATTTCGCTGGTAACAACGTTCTCTTTGATTCACAAAAATACAGAGAAATCAAAAGTAGTACCTGTCACCTGCACTCTCACGTTTTAACCACGGCAGTTGGGAACGTCTTGCAGGAAGACTGGAAATGTGCAATCTAATTCCTTTCCATCTCTTTCCTTAACGTAGTTGAAGAGGTTTCCTGTTTAGGGGGCTTTCTCCTATTTTTGGTGAATCCTTGCAAATGCTCAAGACCCTATAAACTTTCAGCTTTTCTAGAAATTTGCTTTTCTGACTATCTTCTCTCTTCTGTATCTTAAATTTCCCCACTGTATTCCTCCTGGTCATTGGCTTTTGTACCTGCGCAGGTCTCACCCATTTAAAAACAGATCAAATCAAAACAAAACACAAACCAAAAAAAAAAAAAAATTCTTCAGTCAATCCTGCCATCTAGCCTCAGCTCTGTTTCACTCCCCAGCTCACAATCTAAGCAGAGTTGTCCACTTGCACTGTCCTCGGCTCCTCCCCTCCCACTCCTCACGACAGTTCATTTTGCCCCCAACCATGGTGCTCAACTTGCTCTTGCCAGTTTCTGGAAGCTCGTCGCCACCCTACAGAAACCTCAGTTCTCATCCTCCCTGACCTCTCAGGAGAATTTGACAAGGTTGAATCAACCCTCATTTTCTCTTTTTCAAAAACTTCTTCCCCTATGAGCATAACAACTTTTGTACCTCCTATTTTAGGGGTGCTTTATTTTAGACTTCTTTCACTTTGACATTCCCATAAATGTCAGAGAATCTTAATATTCTGTTCTGGATCCGATCCTCTTTGTACAAACTTTCCTGGGTGCTTCCATGAGCAGAAACAAAATAATGATTTCCAAATCTATGTCTCCAGCCCTACTCCCCATGCAGTGTCACAGGGACACTTCACAGGTTTACCATATTGAACACCTAAAAGTGAATTAATGGTTTTTCTGTTGCTCAACTGGCAAATGGGGTCCTCTTCCTGTAACCTATCTAGGTAAATGACACTGCCCAACAGTCCTCCAAGTCAAATCCCAAGGGTCCCAACCAACCAAGGCTGGCAGTTTTACTTCCTTGATATCTTAAAGTCTTTCTCTCATCTCTGGGCTCACTGTCACTGCCTGATATGGGTTAAACTGTGTCCCCCTATTAAACTTATGTTGGTGTCCTAACCCCCAGCACCACTCAATGTCATCATTCCTTGAGATACTATCTCCCAGAGATAATCAAGTTAAAATGAGGTCGTTATAAAAAGGGGATATTTGGAAATAGAGACACAAGGAGAATGCTGTGTGAAGATGAGCTCGAAGACCACCGTGACAAATCTGCAAGTCAAAGAACGCCAGTCAGCAGAACCCCCTAAAGCTGGCAGAAAGCCTGGAGTATTTTCTCCCTCACAGCCCTCAGGAGGAACCAATCCAGCTGATACTTTGATTTCAGGCTTCTAGCATCCAGGACTGTGAGACAATAAATTTCTGTTAAGACATCTACTTTGCCAGCTTGTGGCCTTTGTCATGGCAGCCCTCACGGACTAACACACTGACTTATTTCAGGTTGCCAGGATCACACACCTGGAGTATTCTGAAGCGTCTGTCTGGCTGGTTTCCTTCCCTGATTCCAGTTGTTCCCCTTTGTCCATTCAACACACTGCAGTCTTCTGAGCTTTTTTTTCATAGTCTGTACCTTTCATGATTACATATAACTTCACAATAAGACGGTTCTAATATTTTTTTCTGTTCTTAGAAATTAGATTTAGAGTGCTTTTTCAAGTCTACTTTGCAGCCATAATGTTTTAACACAAGTCTATGAATGTGACTTTTCTTAAAACCCTCCATAGCATCTCATTGCCTCTATGGTAAAATCTAAATCTCTTGCCTTATGAGGTCCTTCAGGAAAGGGCCCTGCCAACCTCTGTGTCTTAGTGCCTGCTATAGCACCCTAGAACCCCACTGTGTAAACAGAACAAATGCCTTTAGGTCCCTGAAAAGGTCATATACTGTATAATTTCTGAACTTTCACATGGGCTGGTCATGCTGTTCTCTCCTCACCTTTCCCTACGCAGCTTGACAGCTTTGGGACCAGCTACTGGGACAAATTTAGATATTTGATTCAATATCACATCTGAGTCTATTAGCGGTCCTGCTATGTGACACGTGGTTTCCTATCACAGTAGTTAAAATACTTCATCACAGTTGTTATTTTTAGTTACTGCCACATTTCCTTCCTTCTCTCCATTTTTTTTTTCTTGCTTTCTTTCTAATAGGCAGTAAGCAAATATATTACAAGAAGTGGACAGGTTAGAAAGAGATTTCTTCAACCTTTCTACTGCCCTCAGTTTATGGGTTTACATTTAGTATTTTCTCTAAACTTTTACCTATATATAAAATACATAAACAAATATAAACATAAGAAATATATTTGAGATATACAGTATCTATTGTTCTGTAATTTAATTTTGTTGTTTTTTTTCATTACAAAAATGTGTACATGTTTGTTAAAAGGAAAAATGTTTTAAAGAACAAATAAATAAGAATAATAGGGACAAATCAGCCAGATTACAATGAATTGTTATTTATGTACATATTGTCAAAAAGACTTAGGTTTCCCCTTTGAAAGCCAACTTACCAACATGTATGGTGTCTTTAAAACATATAATCTCTTTAAAATAATAAATCCTTAGACAATAATCAGAAAATTTATTTAATATTTACAACAAAATATACCTATCACATCTCTATTAATACTACAGAAAAAGTAGAAAAGGAAATTTGTAACAATGGGTGAAACCAATAACCAAATGTCTTACATATTCATATAAGTGATTATTAGATAATCATGAAAAACAATTCACAAAATGTCTTAATGACATTGGAAATGTTAATACCGTAATGTTAAGTAAAAAGGTCAGATTACAAAACTTTAATTATGTTATGATTTTAATAATGTTAAACTATATCTAAGAAATAGTACAGAATACTAACAATGATTGTTTCTAGGTTGTTTGATTATGGGTGATCTTTATTTCCTTAATAATATATTTAAATATTTTCCAAATTTTCCGTGTAAAACAATATATATGAAAAAGAGAAGACTAGTGTTCTAGCAACTCATTTAATAACATTTCATGAACATTTAACAATATTTAATGAAGGCCAATTATGTATCAGGCATTTATCAATATGTCTTTTATAAGACACGGTTCCTACCTCCAATAGATGTTAATTTGCATGGAGGCTGATGTGAAATTAACCAGATAAAACTTGATATGTCATATTCTCAGAAAGAACAAAAGACTATATATAGAAACATGACCAGGATCAACTAATTATATTTGGAGGTTTAAGTGCAAAAGATTTGACTGTTGAAAATTATCATTAAGAGTATTAAATTTTGCTAGGTGGAGAAATAGAGACAGGATATAATTAGACAGAAGAAAGGCATGAGCAAGATAAAATCACATCACATATATGTCAGGAGTTGGTCCTTAGCTCCACCGAGACAGTGTGCCATGTGTTGGGTTGGCTGGGCATGAGAGTTTGTGGTTTGGATTTTATCCTACAGCCAATGGCAAGTTGTCAAAAATTTTAAGGAAGGGAAATCACATATTTAAATGTCTGTGTTAGAAAAGTAACTACTCTGGTAGTAAACGTGGATGTGTAAATGAATAAGGAGAGGGAGAGAAAGAGAGAGTAAGAGGAAAAGTGGATATAAGGGAGACATGGATTCCAGAAACGGCATTTCTATAAACGAAATATAATAAGGCCCTGACGTGGTGGATGACATTGATAATAAAGGGGAGTGCATAGAGATGAGAAATACGTGGGAATTAGAATCAAAAGTGCTGATTAATGAAAGAGAGTGGGGTCCATGATGCAGCTATTCATGGAGAATACACAGATAAACATGAAGAGAAGGATGAGTTGGCAGAAGAGAAACCCACACAAGAGAATTACAAAAGAACAGTCAGAGATGGAGCAGAACAAAGAGAGAGTATTCAGAGGAAAGAGTGTTATGAAGAATATTTAGTGAAAATCAAATAAGAAGAGGACTAAGAAAATATTATCCTTACATGCAACATAGGCTTGATCCTAAATAAACATTTATACAATCACATTACTCTCGAAAAGAGTATAAAATTGAAGCTCAAAATTCACTTAGAATTTTACTACAGAATTTATTATTTTAAATAATATTAATATTTAAAATAAAATATTTACATTTAAGGTGAAATATTTAATATAGCAAGAACATTAATATTTTAAAAGGAATGGATTTCCTTTCTGTCACGTACCTGAATACGATTTTCTTATCATTGGGTATGTAGTAATCTCTGATTTCCTTTACGGCAAAGGTGTTACAAGGAGAGTCTCGACACAAGAATGGGAGTGGATGATAAGAACCAATGAGGCGCAGTTTCCATCGTGATGATGGCACGTACATGTCACCAGTATATGCTTCAGCCACGAATGTATATCCTTTCTATAGGAAAGAAGAATTACATGGAAGTTACATTGTTATTAGTCTCTCAAAGGTACAATATATGATTTCACAGTATTAAAATACTTTATTATCTTCATATACTTAAAGATCCCAAAATTTCTCGATAATCGACAAATCACTAGCATTATGTTTTAAAACCCCTTTTAAAAAGTGTCACCTTACATGTTTTGGGAGAAAATGGAAAACTAACACTTTTGTTTGAATGGTTCCCTGGCTATAAAATGATGCTTAACTGTGTAGAGGATTACTATGATTCCTTCTAATGCTTCCCAAGGGAGATCTTTTATCATTGCGTCATCCTGGATTAGCCCAATAGCTTCCTACTTGATTTCCTTGTCTTCTCAGAATCATCTTTCTAAATACGAGATGAAAAAGGAAGAAGAGGTGATGGAAATGCAGTTCCCTTGGGATGACACTTGGCAGGTAAGGCTATGAAATCAGCAGCAGATCTGGTTCCATGGAACCCAGGTATGAGTCTGGAGATGAGCTCTTTACGTAGGAGAAAAGAAGCATTTAAGGAACCCGGGAAAGTGATAACATACAAAAATGCAAAGTAATTCTGAGTTTATCATTCCAGACACTTCTAACAAGGCAGAAAAATATAGATTTGTACTCCAGTTGCTCTCTGATGCAGAGGAAGCCCTCTGATGCGTTTAGAATTCCAGAAACAAAAATTTAAAATATACAAGACAGAATGAATTCATGACACTGCAATAAAAATCCAGGAATATGAATCAAAATTCCAATACTCATAATGAGATCAGAATTTCAACATCCATAAGGACCTCTGATATTATGTTTGGGGCAAGGACAGAAGGAAGACAAATCATGCATGCTAAAGTATTTTTACCTGCAAAATGCAGATTTATTGCTATTTTTGTTATTATTATTTGAGCTTGTAGTATTAATGTATTAAAGAAGCAAAACAAAACTACATGACTCCGATTTTATGCTTCTCTAGATTCAGGAAACAATTCTGAGAGAGAATAAAAGATTGATAAAATGGTAAGATAGATATTGGTAAGTGAAAGTCTAAAGCTAAATCAGTGATAGGATTTTAAGAGAGGACCTGGTTATTCTAAATGACTTCAAGACTCTGGAATAAAAGAGTAATATTATAGAGTACCAAATACTGAGAAACCTTGTAGATAAGTATTACAAATCACAGGTTATGGTCTTCGAAAAATTATGAAAAAAATACATCAAGCAAATCCGAAGAATTAACTGTGTAACCTTATGATTTATTTCTTTTTTAACCTTAGATACTGTATGCTCAGTGGACATACACTGAAAAAGTTGACCTAAAATTTTTGTATTCAAAAGGAAATCTAGGTCAGACTTGACAAACATTTTAAAAAAAACCCATCAATTATTACTAGTGTGAAGATGAGTTTGTTAACAAAAAACCCAGTTGCCTCCTGTAGTGTTTGGTTCAACCCAAGATATTCTGCTGGAGAGAGGCAAAGTTTATCAATGTGTTTCTCACAGTGTAATTTTTAATAAATTGCTATTTACTAGGACACAGAGGAGAATAAATATACTGCAAAAAGAAGTTGTATGGAGGGTCAAATTGTATTAGAGTCAAGTAAATTCAGTTTGTAAGTATGTGTTTGATGTATAGAAATTAATTTTTACTAGCAAATTATTCCATTTTCAAGTATAATATAAATGCTTTTTCAAAAGCAATTAGAAAAATGATAAATTGGTGCACCGATTTTAAGTTTTTAAAAATTACATTTAAGTATATAATTCTAAATATATATAACTAAACACAAGAACACTGTCAGATTTTCTGATAAAAAGTAAATGTGAATTAAATGTGTAAAATTAAGATAACTAAAACTAACGTAAGTCTAATTTATAATTTGATAATATCTTCAAATTTAGTAAAATCAGTGGAATACTGAGAAAGTTTGTATCTCATGAAAAATAATGGAAAAAGTTACAAATTTTTAATAAAATATATGAGAATTTCCTAATTATAATGAAATAGTGAAAAAACTCACTAGTAAAATAGAAAGTTTTAAAAATACTTATATATACCCACATATTTCTATATATAGATATAAATTGCCCTGGTTTTTTTAAAAGTTTCCTAAAACTCTAAAATCTCTAAAGTAGATCAACAATGAACAAGTGGAATTTAAGATGAAAAACATGCTTTTTCTCTTAGAAGAAATGACTAGAAACTCAAAAATGAGATTAAAATAAAGAGAGACAACATGATTCAAGTGAGTATCAAAGATCAGGGTCTGTCATTCAGCAGGAGAAATGTTCCAGGAGTGTCTATGCTTGAAGGAATCTGGGTAGCCCTAGGAAAGGCTGGGGGTGGGGTGAGTGGCTGTGTAATCACAACGTTCTGACATATTTAGGAATGGAATAAAGAAGCCAGTGAGAAACTGACACAGCCTGCTGATCTGGTTTAGGGAACAGGACTACATGTGCTCTCTACCTCCATTTTCATTTTAGGAGTTTGTATGATTTTATGATTTTAATTATGGGGATTTCTAATGTTTTCCTTTTGTCATATTTTCTTTGGAATAAAGATAAGAAGTGGGTAAAAAGGTGAACGTTCTAGCACTCACATTAAGTACCTCTTGCTGTCAAATACATGAAACTACTGCAGAGAAGACCAGGACCCTATTCCTTTATTACGTAGGTTGAAAACACATCTGTTCTAACTTCTCCTGGAACCTTTCAGGGTGCTGGCTTCTCGCTGTCATTCTATTACACGGGGAGAATAAATTTTACACCTACCTTGTTCTTAGTATAAAGATAAGGCACCACTTTTTGGAACACCTTTGGCACTTGTTCCATTGTGTCATTGTTAACAACGTGGAGCATACAGACTGGAAGTGTAGTATATACTTTGGGAACCAAAATCATATCTTGAGGAACCAAAAATGTTTCTCTGTAATGACAAAAGCGTGAACTTTCCCTTGACACAAGTCACAAAGAAAGTTCGAAATCAGGTTTGATGCTAAGAAATAAAAAAGTTTAAAGTTGCAAATAACTTAAATGCACACAGTTTTCCTTTAAAATTATTATTAATATACTATTTGGTCATGTAAATGCAAACCCTTTAAGAAACCCATTTTATAAGTAATTTGTGACTTTTACCTAATATGCTGTTGCTCAGAATTTAAATGATTTATTTATATACTGAAAGTATATAAATTTACTATATTATGTTTACCACACTCATAAAAAGACCTAATAAGTAAGTTCACATTCCTCATATATTGTTTAAAGAAATATGAATAAAAAAATTTTCTATAATCTCATTTATGCATAGCAGATATGGAAGAAAATTTAAGCTCTGAAAGCAACTTAAATGTTCATATTTTTACTACTATCACAAATAAAGCTCTATGTATATGACTATTTCATGCCAGTTAAGGGTGAAATCACTTGCTAACATATGATAGCCTCACCTGAATACTATAAACCAAGTATTTGGTGGTTGGTCTGCATAAGTCACTGTATAGTCAGCAAAAGCAATCTTAGTGTCTTCATCTTGATAGCATGGGTAAGATTCCATAGACCTGCACTTGCTTTTAAACATTAGTCTATAAATGTAAAAATAATGTAAGTACCAGTAGCAAAAGCAACTTTTAAAATAAATTCCATTAAAAAAAAGAAATAGGCAAAAAAGTAGCATAAAATATTGCAGTCCATTGTTGGCTAGATTGAATCCTTCTTTAAAAGGGGGCCAGTACGGCTCATGGTATGTGGCACCCAGGCAGGGGAGCCCATTCCAGGTCAACCATGAAAGACGTCTCTCAAAGGTGCCCAAGATTATCTGAAGTTCTTAGTTGACAGAGAACCTAACTCCTGATCTAGGGAGTAACTGAAGTTTATAGGTGGGAAATTAGAACCAAAATTCAAGCTATAAGGGTGAGAAAACTAGAAGCAGGCAAACTAGCAATAAAACTGGGTGGAAGCCACTGAAGGTCTGGGGTTGATGCAGAAAATCAATACTGGAATGGAGTTTAAAGTGAGGAATGAATTTAGAAAAGATGAGTAAAATAAAACCCTAAAAGCACAGGTTATGACGAAGGGGAGAGCGCCAGAGTTTTCCTGCTACTTTATTTCTGGTGCCTGAGGGAGGGGTGTGTGCAGCTGAGGTTTCTCCATGTTTGCCCCCTGGAAGGCTGTGGAATATTCCAGAACATGATGGAAATGATGAGAGAATCATCTGGGTCTTGTACCTCCCACTCTGCCGGGAACCAGAACCAGCCTCACTAGCATCAGGAATCTAAAGTCTCTTGTATAACATCTTGGGTATTAGCTGGGATGGAAGCTATAAATGGCCATAGACAATGGGTCTCTGTTAGAGGTCCAGACAGAGCTAGAGGTGTTCTTGGCTTCCAGAAGGTGGCTGGTTTAATTGTACTGTCAGTGGGAAGCAAAGCCATAGAGCTCCTCACGGTGAGAGAATAGGGTTCAGCTGCTCCATTTGCTCACTGGTCTTTGGTGGTGGAAAGAAAATGATAGGTTTATATTTGAAGAGATTTTTAAAAGCTTTTGAAAATAATGGCAAAAACAAAGACCAGAGTAATTATATATTCTGGTTTGCCTGGGGCAGTCCTGGTTTATGCTCAGAGCCCTGGCGTAATTATTAATAGTGCTCCCTCTTCCCCTGTCAGAGTGTCCCAGTTTGGATGATAAATAACTTGATCATCCTCACTAGGAACTACAACGTGATGATCTGTCAGTACAGAGCACCACTGTCAATCACACAGGGACTGGCCGAGTCTAAATGTGGGTGTTGGCTGAGCCAACTCAGGAACTAAGCAGGTCACACAGGGAACTGAGAATGATGGGACCACCATTCTAAGATAAGATAAAATTTAAAGGCTTTTCAGACTGTTTCCATTCTCATCATACATTCTACTATTTTTCATACACTTTAGGAAATTCTAATGAGTATAGGACCATCACAATCCTGATGTACCATGTGGAATGTCCTGAATGACCCAGAGAGGGATGTATCCCTGACAGAAAGATAAGTTTTAACTTTGCATCCTAGGGCAGAGGGAAAGTTATTTTGGTAAATTGAGCCTTGCCCAGAGTCAGCTTGGAGAAGTGGTGCACTGTAAGATCTGAGAATGCAAGGCTAGGCTCCAGGACCTCAAAATTACCCATGCAGTAGTAACAATAGTAGCAATATTTATAAAGGAATAGTACTTTGAGGTAGGTATTATTTTCCTTATATTACAGATGAAAAAAAATTAACTTCAGAGAGGATAAGAAACTTACCCCAGGTCACACATCTGATAATTAGTAGAACTGGGGTTAGCATTAGGTCTTGTTTTTTTCTTCTGGTCTCATTGAGTGTTTGTGATTTTTTTTTTAATTTAAGTACCATCAGTTACATTGTGTCAATTTCTAGTGTACAGCCCAATGTTCCAGTCATGCATACACATACATATATTCATTTTCATATTTTTTTCATTAAAGGTTATTACAAGATATTGAACATAGTTCCCTGTGCTATACAGAAGAAATTTTTAAAATCTATTTTTATATATAGTGGCCAACATTTGTAAATCTCAAACTCCCAAATTTATCTCTTCCCATCCCCTTTCCCCTGTAACCATAAGATTGTTTACTATATCTGAGTCTCTGTTTTGTAGATGAGTTCATAGTATCCTTTTTTTTTTCTTTTTTAGATTCCAATGTGGTAAATGTTTCCTCTTTTTTCCTTTTTATCTGGAAGATGTGTAAGATTAATCTGATTTCTTAAATTCACTAGTTGATCTATTAGCATATTGCTAGAGAATATATTATGCATCCTACCCTACCAGAGTTTTACCTAGATGATTACTTTTACCATTTCTGCAGTAATGCCAGAACCCGAGAACCCTTTAAAACCCTTTATCCAACTCCTGCATTTTGCATTGCTAAGGGTGTGGATTTATTACCACACATAGCTATTAGCCCGATTGTCCTTTGAAAATAGTACGTCTTATTTCTCTGGTTACTTCGAAGGTTTATCTTTTGGCCTTTGAATTTAAGCATTTTAACCATGATGAGTCTTTGTGTCCTCCCTACGTGGAGTCTCCATGAAGAATCTTTTGAAAATACAGGTTGATGTATTTGATCAGTTTTGGAAATTTATCAGCTATTATCCTTTTACATTCTGGGACTATAATTATATAAATAGTAGACTTTCTAAGTGTGTTCCACATGTCCCTTAGCTCTTTCCTTATCTTCTATTTATTTCCTCCTATGCTTCAGTTGGAAACTTTTCTATTGCCCTATCTCCCAGTTCACTCATCTCTTTCTCTATTTTGCCTGATCTGCTGCTGTTAAACCCATTAAAAAGTTTAAAATTTCAGTTGTTAAAAATCTCATTTAAGTAATTTCCATTTGACTGTGCTTTATTCATCTAACCTTTTAATCTATTTTCTCTTACTTTATTCTTTATTTTCTTGGGCATTTCCATAATAGTTACCTTTAGAGATTTGATCTGCTAACTCTTACATCACCAGATGGTCTGCTTCTTTCATATGTATATAATTTTCTCTTAGTTTCTTCAGAGTATCCTGCCCGGAACTTGGTTTCTGGTTAGAATGCAGTTTCCCTAAAGCTCAGTCTACTTCACACTTGTCTCAGTTTCTAGAATGTTGCCCTCCAGGGATTTCAACTGACAACTTTAATTGTTTACTGGAGTCCCCTCCCTTAGCAGGTCCTAAACTCTAACTTTGGTCTCCTTAGGACCAAAAGATTTCAAAAAACGATTCTGCTTCTCAGAGGTTGTCTGTTTAGAATTTTAGATAAGTGCAATTACAATAAATGAAAAGTAATGAGTGTGAAATGAGTAAAAGTTCAGAAGCAGTGGTGTGTTTCTAGCTATAGGGATTAGGGAAAACTCAATGAATACGGTAGCATTTGAACTAGAACTTGAAGGATACCAAAATAAAGCAATAAAAATAGCATTACACAGATTTACCTTAGGAGAGAAATTGCATAATGTTCTATATTCTGTTCCAGTACAGCCCAGACTTTTTGAAGAGTATCTGCAACACTAATATTTTCCTTTGTGTCTGAAAAATAACAATAAAAAGTAGCAATATAAAAGCTGGAAGGTGCCTGAAAAACCATCTTGTTCTAAACCCTCCTTTTACAGTTGAAGGAGTTGAAAGTCTCAAGTAAGATGATATCCAAAGTCATAGATTTACTGGCAAGAAAACCGTATTTCAAATATAAAACTATGAACCTATAGTCGAGAGCTCTGCTTCCCATTTTATGCTGTTTCCTTTCATCTTCGGCTTAAAAATCAGAACACTCTCTTTGATCTAACTGAAGATACTCATCAAAGAGTTTACATCAGGAGGTCACTTTTCACACTAAAAATCCTTATGAAACCTCTTATATCTGAAAAAAATAATCCTTCCAGTTTTTTTCTACAAAGCAATGGCTAATAGGATCTCACTGAAGCTTAATCTAAAGCATAATCTACAAATGGCTCAAGAGTAGATGATCTAGCAAAAAAAAAAAAAAAAGCAAATCCATAGTGTCTCAAATTTAACATGACAGAAACTGGCTTTTTTTTTTTCCTGATTATCTTAATGTCTTCATAGTACTTACCAGTATCTGACATTAGTATCTTAATACATTTACTTTCTATTGTATGCTTGTCATCAGTAGAACCCAAGATTCCTCCGAGCAGAAACCTTGTCAATTTTCTTAATTTCTGTAAAGGCAGAATCTAGAATGGTGCTGTGCATGCAAGAGTTATTCAATAAAAGTGTTGAGTGAGAGAATGCAAATGATCTTAAAACATTATTAAGCTGCTCATTTTTGCCTTTATAAATTGAAAAAATTATTGTGTGAATACAATTTTTATAGCATATAGAGACGACAAGAAGTGTATTTTACCACATACTTAATTTGATGGATTTATGATTATTTTTTCTGATAGAAAAAAATATAAAAATCAAGCAACAGTAATCTTTTTCTATCACGAAAATATGCAACATAGTTTGTTTTACATTTCTATATCTAGTTTTTACTGCTTAGATTAACATTTCAATGTTTCTCATTAAATGTTTCAGAGACATTTTTACAGCAAAATGTTTCAGTATACTCAGAGAAATCCATTGGAGGCAAGGCTTTTTCTATAAAAATGTCAACAACAATTGCAGAATGAAAATAATTGAATGCAACTTTTGCCTCTGCAGTGTTTTATTTTTGAGCTGATAAGATAGATCTGCTCACAAAATAGTTTATTTCACATACACAAATATATTTGATTTAATAAATATAATAATACATTTAGAAGGCATATGTCATCGTGGACATATATGGAAGCTTCTTCAATTAATTAATTTATTCATTCACTTATTCTATCATTCAATCCTTTGAAAAATGGTCTAGAAATCTTAAACTATCTATGACTTCACTAAAACTGACTGCAGCAGCATTCTGCTAGGCACTGGGGAGGTACGGAGAAAAAGGACTGTTTCCTGTTTTTAAAGAACATAAAATAGATTAGTAAAATAGAGCTGTTCACTCATTCATTCATTTTTTTCAACAAGTATTTGTTGTGTCCTTCTTTGGTGGCAGGCACTGCACTAAATTCCAGGAACAAGAGCATGAGTGTACTGACATGCATCCTGAACTCAAGGGATTTCAGTGTTTATAGAATTAAAATAAAGATTAGCTGAGCCATAAAGTAGAATGACTCTAAAAATCTTTTTGTTAACACATAAACAAATACTCACCTCTACAGATGCAATTTCATTTTATAAATGATTGAAAGATTATACCTGGTGTCCTGGCTTTCATAAGCAATCTGACATATGTCCCTCTCCACATGGCTTGAATTTTAATTGCCGCTGTTATTTCCTCAGAAAAATAGTCTTTATCACTTGTTGGCACGTTATATTTAATATCTACCCATTCCTCTGGAAAGAGAAAAACAAACTTTGGACTGAAAGTTACATGTTATCTCCACCTCAGTTCTCAATGCCGTTAACTATTAAAGCCCTCCAATATATACAGCACCACAGTGACAGATGGGTTCTTACATTTAACTGTGTTCTTCTGCAGGTGGTCGTTTTTTAGACTATAAACATTCTGGAGAAGGGAAACACTAAATATTGACACAGTATGGACACTGAGAGCGAACTATTACTGATTTCTCTGTGACAGCAAGCAGGTTCTCTTATAATGGAGAGAAAATGTTAAAATGGTGGGAATGGAGCATTGGAAGATGAGGAAATGAGGGTTACTTAGATCAGAGAATCTTCCCAGAATTCCTCAGGTGGTACTGTATAGATTAGTGACTGTCATACTTTTCCAGGTCAGGAAAAAGTAAAACTAGGAAATTCTAGGCTTCCCTGGAAGTGTGCAGAAGAGGAGACACACATCAGATCTTTGGGAACCTTTAGGCTTCTTGAGCATAGCTGGACCTCAACAACTGTTCATACTTATTCCACCTACTCCCCAAAATTGTCAGTGCTCTTTCCTCCAATTATTTAGCCTTTCTAAGGCTATGAATTCCTTTGCCACATAAATATCTCAAATTAATCAGTACCTAAAGAAGCCTCTTCCAGAGAAGAATCGAGTAAATCCAAGTCCAAAACCATAGCACGGAAGGCAAATTTGAGGTTGGGAGGAAGTTTTGCTATTTGGGCTTTTTTCATTAAACGCCATAAAGAAACATGAAAAACCTGAAAAAAGATAAAATGCATTAGTACATTTTTAAAAACCAAGATAATACTATTCTCTGAACAGAGAGACTCTAAAAAACTTCAGATACTCTACAAATAAAAACTACATATTTCTCATATGAACACACTGTCTAACGGAAGACCCTTTGAAGTCTCCCTCACCTAGAAAGAGACCAAAGTAATTTATCATTTGACTAATTTTAACTTGATAAGATTTAATCACTACAACAATGTTTATAATATATTTTCAATCAAAATATAACATTAAACTGATTGAGAAGCTATAATATGAGATAAAAATATCTTTCTTTTGACTAAGCAAGTTAAATACCAGATTTCTTTTAGTCTAAGAATTGTAAGACATCCATTGCAAGACACTATTATTTCACGTGTTACACGAAAGAAAATACACCACTCAAAGTTTTTATCACTTTCTTATCACTTATGAGTATTTACTTCCTATTGAGAAAGCTCTTTTAAATTTACTTAGGTATAGCCTTTTCATTATGTATCACATTTAAAACATACATGAAAAAATAAAATAAACTACACAGATTGGTTAAGTATTCTGTAAACTTATTCATACTTAAACTCCTACTCTTGCAAATCACTTTTTGAAAACTCTTAGTATCTTTATTTTTCTATATGATTTTGTCCTTCATGTTGTCCAAAGCTTTGAAGATGCACCATTGCCCATAGATGGCTCTCCTTTTGTCCCTGAGGTTTTTCTCAAGGCACTGACCCACGTTCAGTAAGTGCTGATGCTGGCTCACTCTTGATCTCATCAAAGAGGACAGACGGTACGTTTTCAGAGCACATATTCCTTCTTCAAAGTTCTTTTTCATGGTTTTTATCCTGAAATGCTGTGGGATTCCATTTATCCAGTCATGCTGCTGAGAATAACAACCAAGCCACTGCACATTTCTGCTTGCTTGTAGCTATATACATGTTCACAGGGAGTAATGTGCTTGGTGTATTAGGTAGGGGTCCCAGGGCACTATTTCTGGTGACTTTTAGCCAGTCATACCTTCTCTTCTCTTTTCCTGAGCCCTGCGGGAGTTATTCCGATATGAGGAAAACCCCTTTCCCTTCATGTTTCTTTAAGGGACTCTAAAATGCCATTTCATTTTCTTCCCCTAAGGATCAGGCTTTTGTCAAACGATACACATATTTCCTTTGAGGCAGAGACAGTGTCAATTACTGTGAACAAGTCCACGTTGTGTGCAGAGAATGCTGAAGGCCACCTGGCTAGCAAGGATGATAAGGAATCACCAATTATAAAACACACTCTGATTTCATTCTGATGTCAAAGTGTGAAAAGCAATGTTCATCTCAGAATTGGTGAAATACAGTGCCCTTCACAGGCATGTGACTTTTGCATTTCCTGCTTAGTCCACATTGTCTGACAACTCCTCACCTCTCCCCATATGTATAGGAACAAGGACTTAATCCCACAATCTACATTTGTACCTGCCCCATCAGCCGACAATAGTGAACAAGTCTGCGAGCAAGCACCTAACCCAAGCTGAGCAAATCACTGTCACTTTGGCCAATAATTTCAAATCAGGATCAAAACATTCTAAACTGGCCTCATATGAGAAAGCAATAGAAAATTCAGGGGCCATATTTTCCATGATGTGAGCTTAGGAGAGAAAACATGTCTATAAAGAGAAAAAAAAAATAGAGAAGGTAAGTTCTAAGAGCTTTCTATTCCCTCTTTGAAGTTCCTCACTGAGTCATTCCTGTCCTTGGGTGCCAAGAAGATGTCTCCGTACCTTATAATAAATCAAAACACCCGGCTCCTTGTTGTGGCTTAATGAATTTGATGTGTCTTCTGTGACATGCTAATAAAATGCCCTAAATATTTCAACATCTAAGGTAAAAAATTTTTTAAAAATACATGATTATGTTAATCCTCCCACTCTCGATCAATGATTGCCAGGGCTTGGGGTAGGGGAACACATAGGATTTTCAGGGCACTGAAACTATTATCTATGACACTACAACGATAGATACATGTCATTATGCATCTGTCCTAACCCACAGAACGTACAACACCAAGAGTGAACCCCAATGTAAACTACGGACTTTGAGCGATTGACGTGTCAATGTAGCTTCACCAGTTGTAACAACTGGACCACTTGTAGAGGGCGTTGATAATGGGGAAGGCATGTGTAGGGGCAGGAGAAATCTTGGGAAACCTCCATCTGCCCAATTTTGTGATGAACCTGAAACTACTCTAAAAATTAAATCTTTAGTGAAACAAATTTAACTGGGTGTCTTGTATTTTCATTTGCTAACTCTAGTTACACTACTCCCCAAGGGACACTTGACAATGTCTAATATCATTTTTAGTTTTCACAACAGGATGCTATGTGTGTCTAGAGGGTGTAGGGAAACCTTATTGCTACTGATGGGTCAGGATCACAACAGAAATCATCTAGCGCAAAATGTCAACAGTGTGTAGGGGGTACCACAAAGTCTCTTTGCTTCAATCCCTCAAGGCTTCCTGTGAAGCCAGAATGCTGCTCAGCCCCAGCAGAGGCACAAGTTGTAAGTGTGAGGAAGTAAATGCACCTGAGAGCCGGGAAGGGGTTGCTGGATAAATGCCACAATCGCCTTATCCATTAGCGGGACCCTCCTGAGGGATGTCCTACATCGTTTATTAGGATCTCCTGGAGGATACAGCCCCAGTAGCCCACAGCAATAATTATCACACCCTTTAATGAACATTCGTCTCTTTCTCATCTCATTCTTCCTACTCACTCATTTCCACTTGCTGACGTCACTTCCCAAATGAACTGTCTCCAACTGAAGCATTTTCTCAGCTCTGATTCTGGAGGTCACCTAATATGAGATGTATTATTTCAAAAAGAACATTCTTCTAGGAACATTATAACCTGAACACACTTACCCTGAAGTGCTGCGCAGTTAGTGCTTTGTCCTGCAGGGGGATAGGGTAGTGAGCTGTTTGCAGATCTTTCAGAGCTGCAGAGAGTCTACCCTTATCCTTGAAATTAGCAATCACGTGTCCAACCGCTTTCAAAATTGTTAAAGACTGCTCTGTAAATCGATAGCTCTCCTGTGGAGACAAAGCAGAGTGGTCAGCCTCACTTCTGTTTCTTTAAGTGTAATTCAGTTTATAAAGATCTAATTTCTGTTAATATATTTAACATCTGCTCTACAGTTGATTTTAATAGTTACTCATGGAGGACTTACTTGATCAAAGCATTTTGTTAGGTGCTACGGTCCGAGAGACATAAAACTAGGAACACATTCCTGCAGTAGTAGGGACACGTAGAAAGAACACTGACCTCACACTGGGAACCAGGGGAATTTTCTCCACAGTATGAATAGTTCAAAATCTTTGAAAATAAGGCGCGCGCGTGCACACACACACACACACACACACACAAATCACAGCTGCTAAAATATTTACTGGCTCAAAGCTGGGCAGCACAGCATCTTCGTCCCCGACGACAAAGGTCCCCATGCTGCAGATGTGTATGGAGTGCCCCACTGGGGAGGACGCAGTGAAGAGCAGCATGTGTCTCCTAAAGGCAGTAGGTGATAGATGAGAACCAAGGGTTTCCTTTGTTGTAGGCTCCCCCTCCACCCCGTTAGCATCTTGACGACAGTTTGTGCTCAAAGTCAAAATCAGTGAGATTTGAATTTTGTGATACAGATGAGGCGTAGACAATGAATGTTCCCTCTGAAAGAGCCCTTAGAGATCATGGAATCTATATTTCACTAATTATGTCGGACAAAAACGGTTACACTGAATGATAGACGTGCACGTGTTGGAGACATCTCCCACACACTGCAGACACACTGACAAAAGGCTCATCTTGATTTTCCCTTAACAATAGTAATAATTCATGTCAGTGTAGTGCTTTGTGGATTCCATAGTCATTTTCTCACAAATGCATAATTTCATGCTTGTTATCTGTGTCTCTCCCACCAGGTGGAGGCATCACTGAGAGCATGGACACTTTCCTCTCTTCAGTGAGCACTCAGAGCATATTCAAAACCTATGTACGGGGACCTGTGGGGACCTTAGGTCCTGTGGGAGGAAATGTAGATGAAAGAGGTTCTCTATCAATTCCCTGCCCTTGGTCATCTTGATGGATGAGCATGCAGATGGAGTAATGATTTCTCGGAGAATCTCTTCATACCACAGTTTTTAGGGAAGATGTGAAAAGATAGAAGCTTCAAAATTTATTATTTCTTTAGGAATATTGGATGCTTGCCATAGATTATTTAGATTTTTTTTTTTTTGGCCTGGGCTTTGCTTTTTGTACAAGAGCCATAGCTTTTCATCGATCACAAAAAATTATCATGATTGATCTTAGGAAATCCAGCAAAATTGTTTATTTCATCCAAAATATGAGGTAATATTTTGAATTGCATTTATCAAAATCATGAAAACTTTTCAATTATACACAATTTCTTTAAAATGGAAAATGCGATGTGTTAAACCAACTTTATCTGAAATCAAAATAAGACTACTGGTAAAATTAAAAGCAAACTACAGATAAAACTATGGCTTTCAGGAGAAAATGTTATTTTCCTCAATCTGTATTTAGACAAAATCATGGCTCTTGCTAAGGGATATGTTTTATCTTTTTCATTAATTTTAAGAAATGCTGGTTTAAACGACTTTGAATGGTTATCTTTACTGAAGCCATAACCAGACTCTTTGACGATTATGAATCTTCCAGAAGGTACAGAATTTCTTCAGTTTATTTGTTCACAAGAATTATTTTCTCAAGAATCTCAAGGTGATAGACCAATGCCTTAAAAAAATCACTTTAGGGAAAAACATATTAGATTCCACATTGTTTCACTGCTTAGTAGTCAAAAGTTTACAAGTCTTCAAAAAATTCTTAGCATGGGAAAAACAAAGTCAGCCCATACCCGATTGGCAGGCGAACCACTGCGGCCTTGGTAGCGTACGTGTGAATCTTCACAACAAGATCGCGTGGCCTCAGAGATTTCCAAGAAACTGTTTCAGCTGTAAGTAGTCCAGGCTCTATGGGGGGGCTGTCTTTTGTTAAAGCTTTAGGAGAAGTGAAAAAAGAAAAGAAAAGAAAAAAATATATATATATATATTTGGTTGTGAGCATATAGTTGGCCTTCACTGGTATTGCTTTTTAACAATAATGACATTAATAATCATAATATTGTTAATAACAGTAATAATAACCATCACCAGCAAGAATTAGAGATGGTCTGAAAACGTTCATAAAACATTAGAAACTACCCTGGGTAATAATCTGGAAATAATACTCAAGAGGAATCAAGATCTTCCCCCTTACCTTATTTTTCTCCACACAGTCATCCCCTCAGCTGAAGAAACCAGGAATGGAAAAGTCAGCAAAAAGAGGACAGACAGGGATATTTCACTGTCGCATACCACCGCTTTTCTTATGTATGGCAGTAATTATGATATACCTCTCGATGAAACGTGAAAGGAGGAAATGAGAGATTTTCCTAAGATAGTGGCTAAGCAAGGTCAGAATATCCCACCGTTTACTTAAAGTTTTAACCTTTGATTCTTAGCTTTGACTGTGTGGAAAAATAGCAAATAATTAACCAAATTTTAATATCAAGTTTTTCTCTTAAAATCGACAGAAAATATTGACTGTTCTTCATCAGTAGCTGAGAGCAAAACACTTCTTCCCTGTTTCCAGGTAACATCAATCTGAGGCTCTGAGGCCACCACATGGCCTGAAAGCCGTCCACGCACACAGAACTTCAGTGTTCTAGGGCGTGGTGTGGCTTAGGAGCTATGGTGAGGTAGACACACTAAGCTCATGCCACTGAAGTTTGCGAAGTTTTATTCAAAGTATTCATTGCCCACCTAGCACACATCTGACACCATTCAAAACACTGGGTATATCCTGGTGGAAAATCGTAGTCTCTGTCCTCAAAGTGGGCAAGAAATTCAACATTAAGCATTCAGCATATATTTACTGATTCTGTACAGTGTCAGTTACTGTTGAGTTAGATAAAAATGCTTTAATAAAACAAGCCAAACAAGCAAAGAATGATGTTTCATGCATGTTTTTGCAAGAGAGAAACAGGGACAGTCCACGCATTAGAACAGGAGGGAAGGGAGGCTAGAACTTGGGAGAGTTCATTAGGAGGAGAGGAAGTGGGTCATTTTCAGTGAAAACAGCAGCAAGGTCATCAGCTGAAAATGAGGAAGGATAAGAGTGGGTGTTGGAGATTGAAGGCAGAGAGAGATCTAAAGGTTTGAAATAACTGCCTATGAGAATGAGCGGGACAATGAAATGTCAGCAGTGCTCAGGGGACTTTTGAGATCTGTGGTCCTCAGTTTAACGTGGGGCTAGCTGGTAGGATTTTTCTTTTCTCAGTTACATTCAGCTGCTCTGATGCAACCACAGGTTAGGCCCAGAGAGATGTTCAACCAGTATTAGGACTTTGCCAGGAATGTAAGATGAGAGGGTGAGGAGAGTGCTGTGCTGAAGGCATCTGCAAGGGTATAAACACAACGATGGACCATGGAAACTACGTTGGGAATAAGAGAAATAACGATGTGAGGAGAGCAGCACAGAAAAAGAGGTAGTGTTGATGGACTGTGGTCCCAGTTCAGTCAAAGAACTGTAGGGGTGGGAGTTCTGGAGAGAATGTGAACTGGAGATCCAAGGGTGGTGGTCAGAGAACTGCGAACTGACTGAGATGATGCAGCTACTGGTACAACAGGGTCTAAAATATGACCATGAAAGCAGGGAACCCGGTGGGATGCAGGGAAAGGTCTTTGAAATTGCCAAATCAGAGAAGAAAGAGTTCATGTTTTCCAATAGATTTTGAAAGAATCGAGAATGATGACACGCACAGGTGGAAAGAAAAAGAGAGGGACCAGGCGTGCCAAAGAGGGGACCATGTGACCAGGACAAGGAGAGGCGCAGGAGGCAAGAGCAAGCGTCATCCTTGACGTCGGAGGAGTTGAGACGATCTCAGCAGGTGGTGTGCAACTTCCTTAGTGTCTGGAAAGGGAATACGCTCCTTCACTCAGAGCCTAAACGTTGTACCATACGTTTCCCCGGACAGGCGGTGAGCTGGGCTTCCAGACTATAGTTTTCTCAGAGTGCTCTTACCTCCGGATTCTCCCCAGCGTACCAGTGCAGAAAAGCAAACCAGCAGTTCAGTAGGTTTTAGACTGTCCACAAACAGATAGTAGGACACGCGTTCATCCGAGAACTGCAAGAAATCAGACCACTCATTGTGTTTCATATTAGTCTACTCATGCTCTTCTCCACTTCTACTAAAAGTACAAGGTCTAACACTTATAGAGAGTTGACTGTGGTCTAGACACCACAATAAGTACTTCGCAGGTTTAACGATGGGAAGGAAATGCGAACATTGGCAACGGTCCCTGGAAGCTGGGTGTGCAGGGCCTGCGTGAGATGGGCCACCATATCAGGCAGCCAAAGCTCTTCTCCATGAGCAAAGAAAAGGGACATGCTTGTTCCAAAAATGACAACTAGAGGAAGACATTGAGCCCAGAACTGAGCAGTGCTTAGAGAATGGGTCCCTGATAAGTATCCAGGCCACGGAGAAACTCTGGCAGAGAATGGGAATGTATCAAAGCATTTTACTTGGTGGTTTGTCATAGAAACCCTTTACTCTTTCTTTCTACAAGATCTTCAGAAACATACCTATTGCACACTAATGAACCAAACTGGATTTTTGTCTTGGGCAAACAAGAAAGTCCTGAGTACAACAGGAACATCCCTTAGAGGAGAGCAATATAAGGATCACATGAACATGATTTTGATTCATCCTCTGTGGGTACTATTAATATCCATAATTGTGTGTGAAGAAGCTAGAACACAGAGAGGGTAAGTAACTTGCTAAAGGTCACAGAGCTTAAAAGTAGCAAAGCTGAGATGCAAAAGTGGGTCTATCTATCTACCTGGCTCCAATGATGGTCTTCTCAATAATTATGCTATTACTGTATTTCAATTTCCCAGTGCTTCAAAAAACTTTTGACTGATGGTATACGGTAAATGTGTTAAATTAATTCATCATCATATTTTAAAAGCTCTTCATATTATTTTACAATGATATTTAAATAAGTTGAAAGATGAAGAAAAATCTCTAGTAACACTGTGAAAAAGGAATCCTTATTAATCACATATGATGAGATTGCTAAAATTGCTTGATACGGTGTAACTGTCTTACATGAATGCTTCCTCCAGTGTTTTCCAATGGTTAGCATTTGACACTTCATTTTTTTTTTTTTTAGCTGCAACATGTTGCTGATAGGAACGGCTGTTTCAAACATTCACCGTCTAAAACCATGAAGGGCCCTGGATTTGCCAGCCCAGCGTGTGTGACCGAGGAAGTTTCTGCTCAGAGCTCATTGCTGTCATTTTAAGGAGTCTGAGGATTTGAGGGTGAGGCCACACACAGGGCTTCTGCCCTGGTGCCAGCACAAGGAACCTTTGAGTCCCTCCAACCCCCATGACATCACCCATGGCACATCTAAGGGGCGGGCAGAGGAGGGGCCTCAGGCTCTGTGTCCCTGGCTCAGGTGGCAGTGCCTGTGGCCACTAAAATCAGCACTGCCTGGCCTCAGACTCCAGACAATCCTTCCTGTCAGGCCGTACTAAAGGCTGTTGAGTTTGGGTTCCAATAACATCCTCTAACAAAAAGGTATCATTTTCTCAGACCATTGAAATTAAAAAAAAAAATTCAGGGGAATGAAGGGCTCATAATGGATGCTGCTGCTTTATTTTGCCAAGCTGGGACTTAAAAAGAAAAAAAAATTCTGTATTTACCATCACTGCATTAAAATAGGATCAGAACAAAGAACAG